ATACAACACATTACACGCACATACACTACACACATATTACATACACACTACACATTCACCACACACACAAACACTACACTATTGTTAATTTCTTTAAATTTAGTTTTTTAACAGTGGTAGAGCCACGCGGCAGTTTTTGCTGAGGCACGGATGGGCCGGCTCGAACCGGGGTGGTACCACGACCTCACAGAAAACCAGCGTGAAGTAAAGGTAGCTTTACCTCTGCGTTTCGCTTGGTGAGTGCAGGTGGCCGGAGGCCCTTTTTACTGGAAATGAGGCATTCCATCTTAGTCCTCACGGGTGACAACGCATCTACATTTTGATTTGTAATAGAGGATAAATGTAGATGTCTATGGGCCGTAGCAACCACTTACCATCAGGTGGACTGTGTGCTCGTTTGTCACCCTTATCCTATAAAAAAAATAGTACAAGCGATTCTTGCTTTAATAAATTGTATGATATGGAAGAGGGGCTTACTTCTGATACGGGCGCATTATGCGTTCAATAGAAGAAGTCTACCATGGTATATATATTTGTAAGACCGTGTTTATGAATAAACCTTTATGAATAAACCTTTATGAATAAACCTTTATGAATAAACCTTTATATTATTTTAATTAGATTGTAAGAGTATGATTACGCAGTAACTGAAAAAATATTAACTAGTATGTTAGAAATCGTTATATAATCGTGTTTCAGAGATTAATTGATTCATGTTATTCTTGATACAAACTCTTTTCGAAAAAATCTTTATCGTTGTTCTTGCAAGTTCATAGTTTGTTATGTTTTATTTTTGCATGACTTTCTAATATTGTTCTGCTTTATACAATACTAAAAATAAAAGTTTACTCAACATGCTTTTAAAGCTAACATCATTTGGTTCTCCACCTCTTGTTTCCATTTTGTATTTTTGAAATCAGCAATTCTTTAGAGAATTTACCTATATATCCACTAATTTGATAAGGTTTTACTATATTATGACATTATATTATCTTTCTTGTTTCTCTCAGTTATGGCCACTGATCTAATGCTGAGAGTCTGATAGAGACTATTTAGAACTCGTGTTATAATAATATTTATTGGGTAATAATTACATTGTAAATTGATACAGTGTTATAGTTGAGACCTCCTTCTAAGTTTTGTTGACGACACACCTTTCTCACTTCTTTCACATCCATATAGCTACGCAAATAACTCTTCGGTTAGGAGTCATAATAATCATGGCCTCTAGACCGAATTTCGGACATGGCAGTCAATCTCAACGGAGACTAGCCATCTGCGCAGGACAGTATTATAGTGCATGCGTGTATGTGCAGGCACAGGTGCAAGCAGGTCTCTATTCCCTCATTCTCTTAGCCCGATGGGGCGACAATCCGACACCACCGCAGAGAGATCAGGATCAGTTAAGGTTACTCTTAATATGGCCTATCTTCAATATCGTCTATTTGGTCGATAAACTTCCATCTAAAGCGTCCTCTGCAGAATCTGCCGCTCACTTCTCCAGCATAAATTTGCTTTTTCACTCATTTCACATTCATTCTTTCTACGTGTTCAAACAACTGAAGCATTGCTTTCTTAATTCTAGTCACCACAACTTCTTGCAAACCACACTTTTCTCGTGTCACACAATTTCTCACCCTATCGTTTATCATCACCCCTGACAGACATCTTAATAACCGCTCTCCTAGTATCGACTCTCATGCTTCTAGTGCCACACCCAACTGTTATTTTCTTTAAGAAATTGCCGTGCAGTAGTAAGATCGTCTTTCTGCTCCTTAATGTTTGCATATTTTTGATGATGTTAATTTTTGCTTATTATCTTTTTCCAATCCCAGATCTGGACTTATCGCATCTCGGACACATATTTTTATCACCGGTCTGCATAAAATTGTTTTCTGCCGACTTCCAAAAAGGAGCCGGTACTCAATTCGACTGTATGTTTTTTTTTTCGTTTTTTTTTTTTTTATGTGTGTTACCTCAGAACTTTTTTCTGGGTGAACCGATTTCGATGATTCTTTTTTTATTTGAAAGCTGGTACTTCTCGTGTGGTCCCATATGAATTTGATCAAGGTCAGACCAATAGTTTTTAAGTTATTCTTAAATAACTTATATTGAAGTCGGCTGTACAAAATTTTTAATTTTAAATTATGATAATTCACATTGGCATAATAGCATAGTCGATTCTTTGTGTTGCCTACATACAATATAATATTGAATACCTTTTTTAATTAATGAACTTTCATGAATAAATAAAAAATAAAAAATAAAATGTTTATCAGAACCTAGAAATAATAAAACTTAAAAAGGCTTTACGAGTAGGCACACCCAATAAAGACGAGTGTATGAATTAAAGTCTGACGATGAAAGCAATATCGTGTTCAAGGTGACCCAGTGTACTCTTAGGAATGGACGAGTCTTTTTTAAATACTTATAAAAACTTTTTTGTTCATTTATTTAATTGGTAGAAGAAGGCAGGTGATAATAATACATCTATAGTTACAATACAAGGTCAATTTATTTTATCACCATTTTTTAATTATAGTGTTGCTTTTATACAGTTGCTTTTATACAGCCCATAAAAGTTCATTGCTGGCCTCCGCATCTGCCCAGAATTAACGATCACAGCACCAGACGTCTCGCACTTTTGACGCTGCTCCCTGTTACCTGCCGGGGTGTTTTACGACTGACGGCATCTTTATCTGCATAATCATTACAGCCTTTCACAAGTCCACTGCTGAACATAGGCCTTCCCCTAGGTACGCTCCAAAGCACAGAACTGAGTCACCTGTATCGACCGACTTTCTGTACATCTTACCTGGTCGTCACTTCTTCTAGTTAGAGGCCGCCCTACACTTCGATTTTACCGGTATGCGGTTACCACTTTATGGCCGGTTCATTCGCACTTCAGCCCCGTTAAACTATGTCGGTTACTCTGATTCGACTATGAGGACAGCTGCCGTAGAATCATAGTAACAACTGACATGAAGAGATAGTAATATCGCCATCTTTCCGGAAGCCATAAAATCTTTGGACATTGCACATAATCGCATCTTACGATATCCACGTGTTGAAATGAGGTGATGAATCCTCTGACACCGCTACCGCATGTTTTCTTTCGATTTTAGACGAATCAAGATATCGTGAAATGCTCGAGGTGAACTTTATATACATACATATATTTAAATAGGTAGGTACTTGACATTTAACACAAATACAATTGGATGCCTTTTGTTGCAGCAATAGTATATTAGTCTTCTAGAACTATGAAAAAAGAGAATTCTTTGGTTTCTTTTTTGATTATTATTTTCTTAATTGGTTATTAGTAATTACTACATTTCACAGATTATAATTTGCACACAAGTGCCCTTAATTAAAAATATTGTTTTTTTTTTTATAAAGTAACAGTTACAATATCGCTCACAGCCTCAATCGAAAAGAGACGCTTTAGCTCGCTATAAAAACTTTTGTAGCCCTGAAGCCTTATTAGTCTAAAATTATAGAGATTCGTCTTATCGTTCTGCTACTGATAATGCATTGAGTAACTGCATTGAGTATTGGATTGTTTAAATGCGACAAAATGCCTGTTCAATCTCAACAGCAATATCTTTTTACATATTCGTAAACATTATCTTCAGGCGATATTTGTATAATTAGTACCTACTACAACAAACTAGCCAGCTCGGCAAACATTGCTCTGACCTTTGCCACTCCAAATATTTTACAATGTAAAACAATATATTATTAACAACGCAACCACCGCGCCGGAATTGGTACTAGAGGTCTAACCGTCTAGTACCTGGTCCAGAATTTGTGATCTTGGCACTAAACCAAAATATTAAAATATGACGTGTGGGAACTTTTAAAGGCTATTCATTTCCTTTGTTGTTTATAACTATTAAATACTTATTAGGTATCTTTTGTGCCCTGTCTGATATAACTCGGAAAATTATTGTTTATCCATTATATTCTTGAGACTACAGACAAATTAAAGAAATACCCAATATCGTTTCACCGTTGTGCACGTACTGCTTCTTTAGTTTGTAATTATTTTAATTACTAACATATTTTATTAAAATTATGTAAGAAGTATCTACAGCTCAGTGTAATGAATAACTTTAAAGTATAGTTACTTAGATTCAAACATTAAATATCTTTTTCCAATTTTCAAAACTATAAATAATATGCTTTATTTAAAAAGGTATACATAAATATATAAAAGAGTTAGGTATTCATGAATTATTTCACAGTTAGCCGTTTTCTCGATGCCAGGCGTATTCCCTAATTGCTTTAATGTGTCCCACCTTAGGTATATATTATTAGATATTCTTTTTATATGAGAGGGGGCAAACGAGCTTGCAGCTCACCTGATGGTAAGTGACTACCGCCGCCCATGAACAACTGCAACAACAGGGGAACCAGGGGAATTGCAGATGCGTTGCCAGCCTTTAAAAAAGGAGTAGGCTCTTTTCTTGAAGGTCTCTAAAGCTGAACGCACATTTGTCCGCGCCGTATGCGCCGAATTTTACTGATGGCCTCGCACATTTGCACGTACGCACCGTTTCATTATTTAGAATCAATCTATTCAAAATAAAATCTTCCACTTTTTGTCGCCTAGCCCCCATCCATCGAATCCGTACCGTCCGATAAAGAACTTCGTTCCAAAACTTATAATTTCTGGCGACGAGAAGACAAAATGGGACGAAGGGCGTGATACAAGACCTGTGGTCGCCATTCTGCCTGCTTGTCGTGTCGATTACAACAACATTTCGCAAATTGGGAAAGTAAAATAGAATTTCGTTATCATCAGACTATTATAAAAGCTTATAATAGTCTGATGATAACGAAAAATAGCTCTTAAATATCTCTCTGCTCGATTGTCATCATCTTTTCCATACCCGCCTTCGTTTGGCAGAGTATACCATTAACACCATCTGGAAGATTGTTGCAATGTGCGATTTACTAAATGTTTTTTTTTTTCACTTCGTTGTGAAATCGGGTACCACTTGCGATTTTATCGGACTGATTCGACTTAGCGAATTAAATATAACAAATATTTTACGTCGAAGTGATTCAGAGATTACTTCATTCATATTATTCTTGATACAAACTCCTTTTTTAAAAAAAATATCGCTGTTCTCGCAAGTGCATATTATTTTGTTGTTTTTTTTTTTCATGCATGATTATCTTTCAAATATTGTTCTACTTTATACAACACCAAAAATTATGGTTTACTTAACATGCTTTTAAAGCATTTCGTTCTCCATCTCTTGTTTTCATTTTCTTTAATGAAATTAGCAACTCCTTAGTGAATTTATTTTTGTATCCACTAATTTCGTAAGGTTTTATTATATTATGACATTAAATACTATTTCTTTCTTCTTTTGGTTATGACCACTGACCTGATGCTAAAAATCTGTTGAATATTTAGAATTTATGTTGATAGCTTTTCAAGCACAGGTGCACTCTTTATTCCCTCATTCTCATAGGCCGATGGTATGACAATCCGACACCACCATTCATAGATCAGGATCTGTTAAGATTAATATGACCCATCTTCATTGTCGTTTTTTGGTCGATAAACTTCCGTCTAAGGCGTCCTTTGCCGAATCTGCCGCTCACTTCTGCAGCATAAATTTGCTTTGTCACTCATTCCACATTCATTCTTTCTACGTGTTCAAACCACTGAAACATTCCTTTCTTAATTCTGGTCACAACATCGTCTTGCAAACGACACTTTTCTCTTGTCACACAATTTCTCACCCTATGTTTTATCGTAACCTGTTAAAGACATCTTAAAAACCGCATTCTTACAGTTTCTAATCTCATGCTTGAACGGATGAATCCGCCACATCTTGTCTCTTGTTTTGTCTGCAAGAAATTGCTGTGCATCCATAAGACTGTCTTTCTGCACCTTAATATTTGTATATTTTGTTTATGTTAGTATTTCCTTGGTGTACAATAAGCTTATAGTACTATATTGGTTTCCAATCCCAGTTCTTGACTTATCGAATCTTAGATACATTTTTCTATCACCGATTTGCATAAAATTGTTTTGATAATTTACATTGGCATAATACGATGGTCGATTCTTTTGAGCTGCCAACATTTTATTGAATATTCTAATTGATAAACTTACATGACAAATATAAAAATTTAAAAAAATATGTCTATCATAACCTAGAGATAATAAAACTAGAGCCAGCTAGGCACAGCCAATAAAGACGAGTGCATGAATTAAAGTCTGACGATGAAATAAATATCGTGTTCAAGGTGACCCAGTGTACTCTTAGGAATGGGTGAGTATTTTTGAATAGTTATAAAAACTTATTTATTTCATTTGTTCATTCATTTAATAGGTAGAAGAAGGCTAGTCATAATAATATATACATAGTTACAATATAAGGTCAATTATAGCTTTAACAACATTTTTTTCTAATTATAGACTTATAGTGTTGCTTTCGTAATATCCTGCACTGAAAAAGTGTCTTCAGGTCTTCTTCTCCTTCATCAGCCCATAAAAATTTGTTACTGCCCTCCGCATCTGCCCGGAATTAATGATCACAGCACCAGACGTCTTGAACTTTTGACACTGCTCCCCGTCTCCTGTCTGGGTATTTTACGGCTGAATTCATCTTCATCAGCATCATCGTTACAGCCCTTCACAAGTCCACTTCTAAACATAGGCCTCCCCCAAGTTGTGCCACAAACCACGGTCCTGAGCCACCTCCATCCATCGACTTCCTGCATATCTTACCAGGCCTTCACTTCATCTAGTGGGCCTACACTTTGATTACTGGTACGAGGTTGCCAGTCCAGATATTTTATTCCCCATAGGTTATAGGTTTCTCGAGCTTTATGGCCGCTCCATTCGCACTTCAGCCGCGTTGGCCTATGTCGGTTACTCTGATTCTACTATGAGGATAGCTGCTGTAGAACCAGAGTAACAACTGACGTGAAGAGATGGTAATATCGCCATCTTTCCGAACGCCATAAAATCTTTTGCACATTGCACATAATCGCATCTTACGATGTCCACGTGTTGAAATGGAGTAATGGATCCTCTGACACCGCTAACGCATGTTTTTTTTTTCAATTTTAGACGAATAAAGATATCGTGAAATGCATAAGGTGAACTTTATGTATTCAGTCAAAAAGAATTGGGAATGGATGATTTGTTTATGGTTCCAAATTTAATTTTTTTTGTTGTTGGACTGAACTGTTTTCCATTTTGAGACGGAGTTTGAGTTACATCTGTTATTTAGATTAAATACAGTGGTGCATAGATTTCTGTATATAATATACCATATTTATTATATATTGCAAATGTCACAATGGACAAAAACATCGAACAAAGAGTTTGTCTTAAATTTTGCATTGCCAATGGAATTTCGTGTTCAGATTTACTGAAAATGTTACACTTACGGTGAATCGAGTTTATCAAAAATACGTACTTATGAGTGGTACAAAGAAAAGAAAAAATGAAAGACTTGCTTCGCTCTGGTAGGCCTTCAACGTCTGCAACTGAAGTTAACATCGCAAAATTGAAGAAAATGTGACTACAAGTCCTCAATCAAGTTTGAGAGAGGTAGCCGCCGAACTTTCTGTGTCTCACGAGTTGATCCTTGATTTTAAATAATCACTTGGGTATGAAACACGTCGCTCTTCTAGGCTAGTCCCAAAAGACCTGAATTTTCTCCAAAAACTCAATCACATAAGAGTCGCTGAGGACATGCTAGAACGAGTCAATTCCGACCCAATATTCATGAAACGCGTTGTTACTGGTGACGAGACGTGGGTTTACGTGTTTGACATGCCAACTAGTCAACAAGCTTTGGAGTGGCGCCTACCAACTGCGCCGAAACCGAAAAAACCACGCCAAAATCGATCAAAAGTCAAAATCATGTTGACTGTATTCTTTGACTATCACGCACTCGGAATTCTTGACGGGAGGTCAAACGAACATTCTGTGTATTATTGATCTTTTCCCGGTACTTTCTTGACAGAGTAGTACACATAGACTTAGAATATACTGGCGTATAGACGACCTGACAGCCCGAAAACGTGTGACTAATTTTGATTTGTCATTGTGTGCGTTAGCTAGTGATGTACATTTTACTTAGAAGTACTATCGAAAAATGATTGTTAAGGAAGCGGTAAAAAAAAATAGTTTAGTGCACGAAATTGAATAACTTCAAAAATTTACTGAATTTTACCACGATAGTTCTAAAATAATTACAAAATATTCATATAACATGTTCCTGGGAATAAGCTTGACCTACCTGCCTTTTGTTGAATTTTAATTTAAATGCAAATCCCAGGTGACTACCGATAAACTTAAAAAAAAACTCCCCAAGAATCAGATCAGAAAGTTGTATTTTCGAGTTATGATCTTTGGAGATAAACATTTACTGCCATGGACAATTTCCCTGGAATTTCTTTTTGACATATTGTTAACATAACTAGGTATATATATATATATGTATATATATATATATACATATGTATATATTTATCTATATGTATGTATATATGTATATATTTATTTATTTATGTTTATTAATTTTATAATATTATATATTATATAATTCATATATTTATATAAATCGTGTTTAATTATAAGTTTTTGTCCTCAGTTTCATTTTATATTGCACGTTGCACCTATCCGTCAAAATATATTACATTGTTCCCTATTACGTTCGGTTTGTCAGGTAGAAATCGCTTAAAGCGATATGACCACCGTTTGTAGTTCTTAAGTTATTCCGTAATTTTAACACTTTGTATAGATGCAATAAAGAGTTATCTATCTATCTATATACCTATTTATATTTTATATATTTTATAAAATGTTTTGATGGTGAAATAATAAACAGATACACGTAGTACATAATGGCTGCTTTATTTTTCATATAAGTATTACTTTTGATAATTACAAACATTTAATAATTAATGGTTAAATACATTATAAAAGTTTATTTTAACATAAGCTGTCCCTGAAAAGTATAAAGTAACAATAAACTTATTATCATTTTAGCTGCATGAATTTTAAAAACATAATGAGCTTAACAGAGTAAAGTGTGCCAAGTGTCAGAGGATACAGAAGCACTCTCTATTCTCTAAATCTCGATATGCTAAGAAAATGGTCACTCATTCATAGACTGACCGTGCAACTTAATCTCGCAGATCTATAGATCCCCGCAGCTATTACTTAACCACGAGTTCCTCTTCTCTACCACTAACGCTGTAGGTGATAAACCACGCTATTTAAGCCCTCGGCACAATGTCGTTGGCCATCAAGCAAGAATCGGGCATCGAGCGTTGTGAGTATCAAATACTATGGAATTTACACTATCCTGGCACATTGAGCCGCGCATCTCATACGCCAGCGTCAGTGGCGCTTCAAGAGCATTACTAAATATATTATAATCATTTAACTACGCTAAAAGTTTTATCTTTGTGACTTTGAAATATAATACGAAGCTCCGCACAACCTTTTGGGGAAAATAGCGTGATGCTATGAATATTGCACTAGTGTAGTGTGATCGTGAGGTGAGGGTGGTGAAGTAAGGTTATACATTTTTTTGGTTGATAAATAGATACTTAGTTGGGTTCATAATGGCTTAAATAGTATAATCTCAAGATTTTTTATCTTCAATGTACTACAGTTTTATAATGTATAAAAATCTGTCTCTATTTTTATCTAAAGTTTTGAAAGTTAAATTTTTGAAGTCTTATAATTGTAACAATTTTACACTTACTGGTACAAGTAATGTAGAAATGGCACCTTTTAATAAAATTATTTTTATTTTACTTTTTATTTTATACTTCTCAAGTAAATATTTACTGCAAATTGTTGAGTTTTTCTTTGTATTCCAATCAACCCGTCCAATTAACCTGAACCATTTTTTCTAATTATAGAGTCCGGAGGGAATCTGTTTGACAAACGGCAAAATAAAATTACATTTATAGAACGCAAACCGAGGATTTATTTTCTTGTTGTGTGAGCAAGTCTATCGATTCAATATAAACATTCTAGATAAATATCGACATTAATTTTGATATATTTAGTTGAGGTTCCTAGCGTACATATAAT